TTATCAAAACAAGGTTAACGCAACAATAAATTTTTCGTATATTTTGTATGGTTGTGAAGTCTTACTGCTTATTTCTGGGAAGTTATTGTTTTCGTGGGGCTATACTTTACTACTGTTGGAAAAACAAGTAGCCCTTGGTAGTGGGTCAGGTGACAGGTTCCTTCAAATTAATGAGTGCTTTGGTATTATTATGACAGCAGAATCAAAGAGATATGACGAGCCAGATATGTCTCATGGGTAGGGAGACAAGACATGCATACAGAATGTTGGTGGGGAAACCCATTGGAAAGCATCCTCTCAGACATGTTTTGTTGACATTTCTCAGCCCTACACACAGTGTTTGATGCATTGCAGAGGATGAACAGGGGCAATCTTGGGCGAGGGAGGGGCGTGTCTCTGGACCAGGAGGAACACAAGTGCGTGTGTACACGCCCCGACACCAATGTGCTATGCAATGTTTGTGGTTACATTACGAAGGGGAGGATTCGGAAAACATGCCCTAAACACAAGTTGGTAAGCATTTCGTTATTGTCTTCCATGATAACGAGTTAAATGAATAGATTTCTCATTTGTTAACACTGGCCATAAATTGGAAAACACTTGGGAGGAAGTAGCTTTGGCCTCTTGAACACACATTCTAGTATTTGTTTGGAGGTACTGAGGAAAACCGTAAAAGCTATTAGAAATTTGAACCAGGGACCTCCTATATATGAATGCTAACCACTCAACAGTATCTTGTACAGTTGACTTCGGTATCCGAACTAAATTATCATGTTAACATTCTTGGTTCAGAATTTTTATTTTTAACGTAAATATGAAGCTTGAACAGCTTTAATTTAGTTGGTCTGAGGTCTACATTGAACCATCAGCTAGAATCTTCCTCATACATATCTCTGAAGGCACTTGCATTATTTAAATCTGTCATCTATTTATTTATATTTATTTAATAACACTTTCAGTATCTCAGATAATATAGTGTCGAATGAGAGGATTATAATCAATAATTAATCGGAAAGGATGTGGAAGGAATCGGTGATTGCCTAATTTGAGGTACCATCCCGGCATTTACCTGGAGGGACTGAGGAAAACCATGTAAATTTTCAGTCGAGGTACTTGTCTCTGGGTCAACATTTCAACCTGTGACTTCCAGAATAAAAAATAAAAGTACTAATTATTCGACCACGACATTCAGTATCTCTAACGTAGTTTATAATTATTGGTTATTTATTAGTGGTTCAGGTGTCAGGTTTTGGTAATGAAAGTTAACGAAAAACTTTTGACGTTCGTGACCTTTCAATGAGGAACACAGGACAGACGGACAGACACAAGTGATTGTCTATGTTTATTGCAGACTCTGTATCTGATGGATATACAGCAGTGTCCACGTTGCAAGGCGTACAGCTTCATGATGCAGGAATTTACTACGACCAGCATCAAGTGAGGACACAGGTTCTTCTTGTACTGCATGTTGCTGGCACCCATCTGCTTGTCACGTTTATTCTATTTGGTTTCTTCGTGGTACGTAGTTATATTCTGCAATTATCTCTTTTTCTGGTTTGTTACATTGCTCAAGGATAATATTTTATTGTGTAAATATTTTGTATTTGGAGAATATTGTATATAGAAAGTGCTCTCTTTTACTACTGTTGACTGTGTTGTTGGTTTAAAGTATTTTTAAGTAGTGTCTGGCTTTATTGGTGAAAATTTGGTATTTTGCTGAACAGCTGAAGACCTGGAAACAACAGTCAGTTAACCCATACTTCTTTGAAACTGAAAAACATTGAGGTAAATTATAATATTAATAATACAGACGTTGTTATTAAACCAAAGGAACATTAAAGCTAGAGTTTTACAGGACGGTGAATACGGGGGTATTCAGTGTATACAAAATTACGATTTGTTCGGGTTTTCATGTTCATGATGTGATGAAGTCGAGGTATTTTCAGCTGGTTAGGTTAAGTAAAAATGTTGTTCACGTTTTTGTATTTACCTCAGTTTATTAACAAAGAAAAATGTAATTTAAACATTTATTAGTTTAATTGGAAAGAAAACACACCTTAGTCAACATAGTGTGTGTGGAAGACTGATAATGTTCTTGATTGACGTCAGGTCACAATACCTGGACTTCTGTCGTTGCTTTGTTAGATTTTCACACCTGAAAAATTAATATACTCACCTTCAGAAATACTCTTGTATTTCTCGAGTTTTGTTTCATCAGAGTTTCTGTACACTCTTTAAATATTCTTTCAGACTGATTTGTAGTAAATTACTCCACTTGCTTTGTGTGTAGACTTTATGTTGTTGTATTATGTCTGCTTCAGTTATGAGCCGGGATAGCTCAGTCAGTATAGTGACTAGCTACGGGCTGGACGACAGGGGTTCGATCCCCGACGGGGGCAGAGGATTTTTCCCTCTAGCCTCTGCGTCCAGACCGGCTCTGGGGCCCACCCAGCCTCCTCTACAATGGGTACCGGGGTCCTTTCCCGGGGGTAAAGCAACATTCTGAATATTGCACAAAATACATATTTTGTGTGGTAAATCATCCGTAAATTTCTGCATGCCTTTTTTTGAAGTCACACGTGTTCCCGAGGCATCATTCGTTATGTGGATCCCAAGGTTTAAACACCCAAAGCTGATGCTTAAAGCAAACTATGCTAATCCTTACGAGTGGTACGGGTAGAGCTTGTTGTAAATCGGAACATAAGTGTCTCTTTTGGGCTCTCCAAAAGATGGGTTGAAGGATACATACCTGTAGAAATTCTGTGGTGTAAGTTTTCTTTATTTTTCCAACTCTTTGATTGTTTAAATTTCACGTAGTCACAATTATATTGAGCTGTGAAGTTAAAATGACTTTATTCAAGAGTAATGTCTTGCTTCGACACCTTCTTAATATGTTTGTTGTGATATTTAATTTAATTTGTAAAGTTTGATGGTGGGCTTATTCATATCTGAATTGGATGTTTTCTTATTTTAGTTCAGAGTATGTCTGAGATTGCCATTGGAATCCCAAGAATAGATATAAACGCGCTTTTCCAAATCATCTTACATATTTCTAGTATATTCACGTGTTCATTATCGTGATATTATGATTCTTTGGCAGCAGCCATTTTATAGCATGAATTGGTTTGCAAATGGTTGCACGGTGGAGAATGTTGATTTTATTTAAAATATTCCGTATGCCACAAATCAAAAGCTAAAAACGTGACCCACCTATTATACAAAGATAGGACAATAGTGAGGCTGCATTTCATTCGTGAATCCAGACTTTCGAGCATTGTGATTTACAATGCAATTACTCCGAGGCCTTCGGTTCATTGTTCTGAACTACTTGCTAAAATTTGTTATTTGGTGATTATACTTGGGAAACATCTAACTTGAAGTAAATTGTTACAACTTTTACTCATAAGATTTGAATCTGAACATTGCGCATGTCACATTATTAGCTATGTTTAGATTATGCCTGTTAAATATGTCTTCACCTGAAAAATTTCAGACCTGAGAAAAGTTTTAATTTTTTTTTTTTTTTTGCATAATTGTTTGGAGTATAATGTGAATCAGCTCTACATCTCTGCTTCTGTGTTTGATATTAACAATGCTGAAATAAAACTGTTCCTAATCTTGAATGATGTAAATAATTACTGGCGCATTATTTATTACCCCAGCGTAATTTACTACATATAGCTTAATTAGGTTTGTGAGGCAGGGTAGCTCTGTCAGTCCAGTAACTGGCTATAGACTGGATGTCCAGGGTTCTATCCCTGACGAGGGCAAAGGAGTTTTCCTCTAGCCTCTGCATCCAAACTGGTTCTGGGGCAACACGGTCCTTTCCCAGGGGAAAATGGGGTTGGGGCGTGATGATAACCACTCACCCCCACCTATGGCCAAGGTTAAGAATGAGTAGGAGCTATACTTTATCTCCCCCCAAGCGCCTACATGGCGTATAGTGGGACAGCTTTACTTTACATTACTTTTCTAGAGTTTCTCCGTGGCATCCCAACAATTACTCCATTCACACACAGAAGAAGGCAATGGCAAACCACTTCTGGATCATCTGCCAAGAACGTATATGAACAGGTCCCAGTCCGAGAAAAGGATGGAAGGATCCTGTTCATATGGACCTGTCGTCAGACAGAACACTAAATAAATAATAAAAAATACTATTGCTGCCAGTAATGAACAAGGTCAAATGATAAAACGGCTGGAAACTGCTGCTGAAGTACAGTTGAAAACTTTTAGCTACTTCAGATAAAAATTCTGTCAGTGGTCTGGTGGTGTGGTGTAGTGTAAAATAGAGTAGGGAAGGGTGTAATACAGTGGAGAAGATTTTTGTGTTTAGTGTAATGTGGCATGGTGTAGACTGGCATGGCTTGTGATGTGGCATGATGATGTGTGGGAGGGGTATGAGCTTTGGTGGAGTATGTTGTGACATGACATGGTGGTGTGTGGCATGGCTTGTGCTGTGTCGTGCCTGTCATACAGAATTTAACAGTGGCATTGGCACTATGCCAAGAGGAATTTTCAAATCTTTTTGGTTTAGTGCGCTTTTTGGATAATTTCAAGCATTTTTTGAAAATTTTGAAATTTTTCAAAATTCCAGCACCTGATATGCCCTGCAGAACTGGTCTATCTCGGACTGTTTCTGATGTACTGTGTCTGACGAATGCGGTCTGTTTGGCTCTGCAAGGACCGGACTTTGTATGACATGGCTCAAAAAGATGAGGTGCGACAGGCAACACGTGAGGCTCACACGGACCTGCAGAGGCCGGTTGTTGTAGACACCGAGGCAGGCAGCATCCGAGTGAGATACAGGCAGAGTCCGGCAGAGACAGGTTGAGGCATTCACCGAGTTTGCCAGGCATCTCTTTGGGAGAATTTAAAAGTTTTTTCGAAATCTTCGGAAAACCAGAAAATGCTGGAAATTGTCTGAAAAGCGCAGAAATCCAATTTTTTTTGAAAATTTTAAAAAAAAATTGAATGAAATTTTTCAATTTTTTTGGTTTTGTGCGCTTTTTGCAGAATTTCAAGCAATTTTTGATTCTTTGAAAATTTTGAAATTTTTCAAAATTCCACCACCTGATGCCTTGCAGAACTGGTCTCTCTCGAACTGTTTATGATGTAATGTGTCTGACGAATACTGTCTGTGCATGTCTGTGGTTCTGCACGGACCGGTCTCTGTAAGACATCTTGACGAAAATATAAAAATTTTCGAAAAATCGA